CAAATCAACATGAACTAGCATTTTAAACCTTTTTATCTCTACCCCTATTACAAAAGAATGATGAGATGAAATTCCAACTGTCATTATCATTGACATATTTCTCTTGAATGAGAAATATGGTAAGATATCAATCAGTGAATTGCGGTAACTGTTGTAGTCATGATCTGTTACAAGATTGATATGGTAAAAGAAGTGTGCTGACATGCCACGTATGGTGAGAACGATGGCTTAACCCCTTTAGAGGTGTAATTCCAGCAATATTTAAATTCCTAGCCATACATGTTGAAAGCAGATGATTTACCAAATGGAAACTTGTAATTTCGTTATTTTTGTTGGTGGAAACAAAACCACATACATTTTTATTTTTTAGAAATTGGTCAATAGGTTGCTATATACACATTTTTTTGTTCATATGATAATGCTTTCCCTAGTTTCTATTCGTGCAGGGCCATCTTTTAATGTATGTTCTCTTGTTTGTGTACATAGAAGGTGAGAAGGGATTCTTCTTTGGATTGGCAACTGCACCAGCACATGTGGAAGATGGGCTTAATGATGCTTGGCTCCAGTTTGCTCAAGAGGCTCCTTGCAAACAATCAGAGTCAAACAATGAACCCCAACTAGTAGATGCACTATTGGCTTCTGCTACAGGTGATGGTGGCACTCAACAAGCCTCATCACTACCAAGGGCTGTATCGCCCACTATAAAAAGAAGAAAGTCAATTAAGATTGCTATGGAGGCAAAAATTAGAGGATATGAAAAGTACGTAGAAGTAGAAGAAACTGCACCTGCCGAGGCATGCCAGCATGCCGTTGCTGCATGGCATAATGTTCCATGCCCGTAAGTTCAACCAACATAGCGTGACTCATATATGGATCAACTCTAAATGGGCTTAAGTTGACAACACATCAATCAATCTCTCTTGAATATACATGACTAAATTGCACACTATTTTGTATCCCCTGACTAGACTTTTTTGTTACTCTGTATTTTTTTTGTTCTAATCATTTTTACATTTTATTGAGCCGAGGATATTCTTGAAATAGTCTCTCTACCTTTATAGACAGGGGTATGGTATGCAGACATCAATGCTCCCCAGACCCTACTTGTGTATATTTACTCAGCTGTTGTTGTAAAGTCCACACTATTTGAAGCTAAACCTTTGAGATAATGGAATTTTCCATTAGAACTTATTATCTCCATTTAATGTGCTTAAAATTAAGTAAATCAAAATGACACATTAAATGTCTTTTCATTTTTACTTTCTATGAAGTTTTGGGTTGTCAATGCAGAAATGCATCAAGGATATGCTATGGTTACAATTGAAATTAAAAAAAAATCCGTTTTTGTTATTTCAGAGAAGAAAGGTTAAGGTTTTGGTCTGATCCGGACACAGAATTGAAGTTGGCAAAAAATACTGGAGTCCAAGTGTTCAGGATGGGAATTGATTGGACAAGAATCATGCCGAAGGAGCCCAAAAATGACCTACAAGAATGTGTAAGTATGACTATCGACTTCCTTTGGTTACCGTGATCTCTATTTATTTTAGTAGCCATATTGGGCTTTGGCTATTCAAAATGAAGGTGTAGTTGAAGCTGTTTTTTCATAGGGGATCTCTCCTAACACATTGCTTAACAGATCTGAATTCTGAACTCTTTCTTCTTGGAGCACATGTTGTTGGTTATGTTTTTAAGTCATTCTAGATAGGCCAAATATAGTAGTATAAACCTGCATACATGATATTGGACTAATGCTCTTATGTTAACCCTTTAAGATGGAACTCCAATAGGTGCACTTTTGCTATAAGGGAGCACTATGGTCTATGCACTTTGCATAAGTGATTATCTTTTGGACATTTTTAGTTTTATAAACTTAAATGGATCCTAAATGTTCGCTATCTTAAAATAGAATTTATAAGGGTGTTATAAACTGCATTTCTTGATATATTAATAGGTCAATTATGCTGCACTGGAGAGATACAAATGGATTGTAAATAGAGTGAGATTTTATGGTATGAAGGTGATGTTGACTTTATTCCATCACTCACTCCCACCTTGGGCTGGAGAATATGGAGGGTGGAAGATGGAAAAGACCATTGACTACTTCTTGGCATTTACCAGGTTGGAAACTTGCATGAATTAATCAAGACACCGTACAAGCACACATATATGATTTGTAACCTTTCTGGAGCAAGGGAACTGCGAAAAGCATTATTTCTTTAAATATTAGGAATATATTCCATGAAGTTAATGGTCTTTTTGGCTCAATAATGTAAAAGGAAACTTTTTAGAATAATGTGTTATTATCTCATAGAACCTCACTTGTGGAATTAGAGCATACTGCTATTGGAACATAAGTGTTTATGTATTATGAGTTTATGATATACATTTCCATTTTGCAGGCTTGTTGTTGATGCCGTATCAGATATCGTGGATTACTGGGTAATATTCAATGAGCCTCATGTGTTCTGTATGCTCACTTACTGTGCAGGAGCTTGGCCTGGTGGTAATCCTGATATGCTGGAAGTTGCTACTTCTGCATTACCCACAGGTGTTTTCAACCAAGCCATGCACTGGATGGCAATTGCACACTTAAAGGCCTACGATTACATCCATGAAATGAGGTTCACAGTTTTTCTTCTTTCTTCACATCATGTCTCCTTTAATATTTTTAAGTTAGAACTCGATTTGGTCCCTCGACTATATACCTATTGTTACTCAATTTCTCCTCGGTTTTCTTTTAGACTAGTTGGTGCTCAACTATGCAATTTGCATTCTATTTAGTCCTCATGTGCATTCTGCCAAAATTAACAAGGTTATTTTCGTATGGCCCGGTTAAAATGACACTGGAGTCAGGTGTCATATTATGAGACTGGCCAATTTAAGGCTTCAACGGTGTTCCATTCAACCCTAAAGTGGTTCCTACCCCCCTAACCCAGTAAAACCCTGACCCTAGCCCAACCCCTCCAATTGCACTGCCCAAATTTAGTTGGCTTTGGGGTATTTTTTTCACCATAGGGTCCAGTGGGGTTGGAGGTGCGCTCAGGTCAGCCCGGGTGGGGGTTTACCAGAGGGTTAGGGGTAGGAACAATTTTGGCGTCGAAAGGAGCACCGTAGGGGTCTCAAATTGGCGTGGTCTGGGGTGTCATAATATGACACCACACGTTGGTGTCAAAATAACCAAGACGATTTTTGTATATTGAGGACTAACTTAGGTGTGAATCACACATTTGAGGGCCAAATGAAATTAGATCTAAATTTAGTGAGCGGTTAAAAATATTATTCTTATTTAGAACCAAATATGAATAAGGACTAAATTGGATCCATACTTCATAGTTGAGGACCAAATGAAGTCCAACAGTGTTGGGGGACCAAATTGAGTAATTGTGTATAGTCGAGAGACTAAATCAACTATGAACTCTATTTTTAATGTTATAATTGGAGCTTTCATTCTATTTTTTCCAGACTATTAGATGCTTTTTGCTAACTTGCTAAAAGCTGGATTTACTATATGCTCTTTCTAGAATTTCATCTCTAATTTTATTGCACTTACACCCAACTCTAGAGGATCTGGAACGCTAGTTGGAGTTGCACACCATGTCTCCTTTATGCGTCCCTATGGACTTTTTGATATTGCTGCTGTTTCAGTTGCTAATTCCTTGACTCTCTATCCTTACTTGGATGCCATTTCTGACAAGTTGGATTATATTGGGATAAATTACTATGGACAGGTATTTCCCTATGTCATCTGTATTTATCTTTGTATAAGAGCGAGCTTTGGAGAAATGATCCAGTTGCCACTTTGGTTATCAAAAGGTCATGAGTATGAACCTCTGTGTAAACAACTTTTTGGCAAAAATTGTGGTTTACTCTTAGGGAACCAAAGAGATCCCCGAGATAGATGAAAAACCCCTCTCTTGCCCCGTGGCTAGAGTAGGAAGAATACGGGTATAAGTGTATTATTATTATTATTATTCTTGTTCTTGTTGTTTTTGTTGTTGTTATTATTATTGTTGTTGTTATTATTATTATTATTATTATTATTATTATTATTAGTTTCCTACAGCTATTGTTGTTATTTGTTAGCTTCCTATTATTATTTAGGAATATTAATAGTTCTCTATTAGATAGTATTATTCTATCTTAGTTAATAAAATAACTAAGGAATCATGTTTCCTCATACGATTGTGGTAGGTCTCTTTTAAGGCTTTGCCTATTTATACTCACACAATTATTAATAAAATTATCATCGTGGAAGCAATTACTTCTTTGTAATGAAGCAGAGGATATTGATCCTTCCCTAACCATGGCTGAAAAGATGGGACACTAGTCCGTGGCTAGCTTCTCATGAATAGAGTTTTGACTTCAACCATTGATAATTTTATTAATGACTGTGCGAGTATAAATAGCCAAAAGTGCAAAAGCTTAAAAGAGGTCTACCATAATCATACTAGCCTACTAAGAAACATGATCCTTATTTTGGAGTATTAGCTACAATAGAATACGACTATCAATACTACCTCCATCCCATAAAACCTTTTCTATTTGAAAAAAGACGCACCTTTAAAATGAGTAATTTTGGTATTATTTTCTAATTTTTCCCTTCATAATAGAGTAGGTTGAGATGTGTAAGGTAGATGAGTCATAGTTAAAAAATAACACCAAAATTACTCATTTTAAAGACACGCAGGAAGGATTTTATGGGACAAAGGGAGTAGGAAACTATGACTATTTTGCAATGATAGAAACGAAATACTTATGCTACTTAATAATAATAATAATAGTCAAAATCATAATCTAATACTACCTCCGTCCCGCTATATTCGTCCAGTTTTGACTTTTGGAACTGTTCATCTAAGCACTTTGACTCATCAAATTCTCTCAATGTGTAAGCCTAAATATAGTCATGTGTGATCTTGTTTGATTTGTCTTAACATATAGATTATTAATATATAATTTCTATAATTTTTTAATATACAAATTACAAGATAAAATGGATTAAAGAAGTGCATTGGATGGTGTGCAAAAATGAAAGTGGACAAATATAGTGGGACGGAGGGAGTAATAGCTACATCATTTACGTATATGGGTTTTCTCTCCTTACCCTCACAAAGTGGGGAGAGCTTGGCTCCCTGGGCTGGCCCTTTATTCAGTATAATAGTATATACAGAGTATCTAGAAACTGCAATTTTTTTCCAATTTGGGGTGTTGGAATATTGGAACCTCCTTTTTTTCAGGAGGTTGTATCAGGTGCAGGACTGAAGCTTGTGGAAACAGATGAGTACAGTGAATCAGGGCGGGGCATCTATCCTGATGGCCTGTACAGGATTTTGCTTCAATTTCATGAACGATACAAACATCTTAATGTCCCCTTCATTATATCTGAGAATGGTGTTTCAGATGGGACAGATGTAATCAGACGGCCATACATGTTGGAACATCTATTGGCAATTTCTGCAGCCATTGTAGCAGTATGATCTTAGAGCCTTATTTTATAGCTGTTTTCCTGCAACAAGGAATCAGGGGTCTAATCAGAACAGCCTCTCTGTTTTTTACAGGGGTAAGGTTGTGTGCATCTTGACCTACTTGACTCCCAACGGAGTTGGGATTATACAGGGTTTTGTAGTTGGGGTTGTTGTAATGCCCATGTACTAAATGTAATGTCTGTCATTCAAGGGTGTCCCAGTACTTGGTTACTTGTTTTGGACAATTTCGGATAACTGGGAATGGGCTGATGGATATGGTCCCAAGTTTGGACTTGTAGCGGTTGACCGTTTGAAGGATCTTGCTCGGATCCCACGTCCTTCATACCATCTGTTTTCGAAGGTAACACTACTTAGTTTAAACATTAAAGTTTTGCTCACTGACTGATATTTCTTTTGTCTTTTCCCAATCTTCTCACGTCTAATATTACAGGTTGTCAGATCAGGTAAGATCACAAAGGCAGACCGAGAGAATACATGGAATGAACTTCAACTTGTAGTGAAAGAGGGAAAAACGAGAGAATTCTACAGGGCGGTGAACAAGCATGGCTTGATGTATGCAGGTAATTATCTCAGTTTTATGTTTATAATGTATGCCCCTTCTCTACTTTTAGTTGTTTGGGCGGCATAGTGTGATTAAGTTTACAACTTATGTGTGAAAGTTTGATAATGAGCATTAGAAAACATATTGAATTTGCGCAAACATGCTATGCATTGTTAGATAAGGAGCTTTTGGGGGAGTTTTGTGAAAAAATAGCTTTTTGTATAAAGGCCCGATATTTGCCTATTAAAATTGTTTGGTAAAGAGCTTTTTCGGTAAGCCCTTTTGGTTCCAAAAAGCTGGTTTATTAAATGCCTGATTTTCATGATTCTTAGAACTAACTACCCTATGAGCTGACACAAATAGCTAACAGCTTGTTGTCAAATAGGGTTTATATGGAGGTTTGGTTTAGTAGCTTGTGGTTTATTTTAGGCTCCAATATTATTTGACATTTTATCAGCGAAAAGTATTTAGGAAATAAGCTGCTAATGTAAAAAGTATGCATCTTTTTCCACTTTTCAGCTACTCAACGACTAATTTTTTTTTTAAAAAACAATTATAACTCCAATCACAACTCTTAACTTCTAGCTACATTAACCCATTTAACCCCTGTTGGGGTGATTATCTATTTTATGATTCAGTTTTTTGAAAACTAAAAACCAGACTTTGGAAACAAGAAAACTTTGCTGTTTGTAGTTTCCCATACTAATATATTTGTAAAAAAAAACACATAATACGGAGTAGCGAGTAGTTCTGGTCCATCCAAAACGTGAAGGCTTGCAACCACTCTGAACGGAGCTTAAATCTAGCTTTGGACCTCGGCGTGCCAAACAAACCCGTATTGATGGTGTTTCCAAAACCGTGGTTGTTCTCACAGACAACCCATAATGTCAAATCTCATTTTATAGGTCAACGGAAAGGTGGTAAATATGTTTTCGCTTTTGTAGGAGGTCTTGATGAGCCTGTAAGGAGACCATATGTGGAACGCGATTGGCGGTTCGGGCACTACGAAATGGAAGGTCTACAAGATCCCTTGAGCCGATTTTCACGATTTATTGCCCGGTCCTTCACCATCAAGAGAAAAGCAAAACCTAAGACAGTGAATGAGACTCTTGAGCCTCTTTTGTCCTTACCTTGATGCTCCTTCCTCTTACAAGTTCTGAAAATTCCATCACAAATATATTCATGAAGTTGGATCAAGGTTGGTAATCTTCCTTGGCCAAATTAATTTAGTTTCTTTATTATCTTCAACCCTTTTATTTGAAGAAGAGTTATGTACTTCGTAGAGTCTGTACTTTATTGCTGCAGTGTATAGCTTCCTGCGTTTACATTTATATCAAAACATATGTAATTTTTTTGACCAAGAAAAATCAAATGGAAAGATTAAATCCAGACACAGGAAGTATTTACTCCCTCCTTTCCTAAATGATCGCCACAATTTGACTTTTTTTGGTCAAACTGTGGCACCCTTTGATCATGAATTAAATATTGTTTAAAGTAATTAAAAATTATAAAAATTTGATAGTTCAAAACTATATTTTAAAATAAACCCAATTTTACTAAATTTACATTATACGGAGTAACTAAATATACTTTTTTCATAATTTATGGTCAAAGTATGCTACAATTTGACTGAAAAAATTAAACTGTGGTAATGTTTTAGAAAGTATTTGTTTGGAGGAGCCATTTTCTTCCTCCTTCCCATACAAGGGGGAATAAGACGAAAAGCCACACCTCACCTTCATGGACGGGGGGAGGGAGCACGGGCTGAATTAGCAGATGTGGCAGGTCCCGTGACTTGTTGAAATTGGTGAATATGACTATACCAAAAGATGTATCCCAAATGTACACCATCTCATCTCCACTACATATTTTTATTTATTTTTATTTACTTATTTTTTTTAAAATCTTTTTGCCTTTTTTAGTGGACAAGGAGGGGGTGGGGGACATATGGGATACGCCTTTGGTGTACCCCTATCATTTTTCTTTTTTTTATTATCATAAACCTGAAAGACCTACGTACTCAAGGACTCACGAGTGGAGTAGTCAAAACTTTGGAATTCTATCATAATTTATGGCTAAAATTAACCGAAAAATTATGCATGATAATTCCAACTTTATTTGTTTTTTAAAAAATAATCTTGTCTTTCACGGGGTATATAATAATTTTAACTTTATTAAAATTTATGATTTTTTGGTTATCGTTAAATTGCTAACCGCTGGTTAACGGAAATTGACTATTTTGGAATAGAAAATAAAAGTTGATATTATTTTTTATGGATTTTTGCTTTTTTTGAAAATTTTCTTTAAATTTTAAAATGACTTTTTACTTTCATCATTTTTTTTCTATTTTTTGTTAAATATTAGTCTTAACTCACGAAAAAAGTATAAAAAAGATACTCCGTATAAAATAATAAAATGAGGAAAAACATCTAAGATCATACAAAATTAATGCATAGAAATCACTCTAAATAAGACTAAAATATAGCGAAAAGTATCAAAATAGAACTTTAATTTTTTTCCCGAAATAGGACTTTGCACTGTGGTAATGTGACTTTGCCCTGTTGTAATGTGGCAGTGTACATGTACAAATTACTATACTTTTTAAGTAATGTATATGACCATGTATTGTAATGTAAGTCCTATTTCGAAATAAAAACATGGAAGTCATATTTTGGTATATTTTCAATGTTTTAGTCTTACTTTGGTCTTTCTCTTATTAATGAAATAAATAAGGTAATCAATAAAAATTAATCTGAATTTGGTAAGAAATAACTCTTGGTAAGAGATAACTCTGAATCTAGTAAGAAACGACAAAGACCCTTTTTTAGGGTTTTAATAAGAAAATAATTCTTTTATTTCTTGTTTTTTATTTTTATTTTCATTTTTCACTAATGAGAGAAAGCAATACATTAATACTTTGTATAGTACCTAAATCGTTAAAACACATCGATCACTCCATATATATATATATAGTTTGAGGTTAGTTTTTATTTATCGTCTTAGTATTTTATTAATTTTGTATGATTTTAGTTGTTCTTTTCATTTTCATTATATTCTATATCTATTTTTAATGATATAAGACTAATCTTTAAAAAAAGAAAAAAAAATGGATATGGAAAATCATTTTAAAAATTTAAGAGAAAATTTCATAAAAAATATTTATAAAAAATAATCTCAACTTCACCTTGTTGCGGAAAACATGCATCTATTAACATGCCGTAAGCAGTTTAACGGTGATCCAAAACTCGCATATTTCAGTAAAGCTGAGATTGTTATTCTTCACTATGAAAGATGAGATTATTTTTTAAAGAACAGGTAAAGTTGAGATTATTCTTATAATTTTTCCAAAATTAATTGGTACTTCGTGTCATTATTTAATATATCCAGATATTACGAAGCTTCTAAATGAAGGGTTTTGATATCCCTGAATTTGATAGATATCGATGCGAGAATTTGATATCTCTTTCAATTGTCGATCATTGCCTATCGACTATCGTTATCACAACCAATCAGGCTCTTGCCAACCATTCACATATATCACTAATAAAATCGTGATTTGAAATCTTTCTAAACAATTTTATTTCAAATTTCAAAACTTCATATTGAATGTCATTTCATACCTCCAAAAGTGATCAAAGATGTCCTTAAAGAAAATGAATAACCTTTTCTTGGGACACCCCTTAGTGCAAAACATTATTGGGGGGTAGTAGAGGTTAAGAGTCTTATCCACATAAGGAAGTCCTAAGATTCTTGCATACAAGGCAGTGTTCCAAATGGCTAATAATCAACCAAACACACCAGCTTTACTTTTCATTTGTTTTCTCTGTTTATGGCTTTCATGCACAGATTCTTCATCTTCATCTTCTTCTTCAACCCAAAAAGCACAGGATTTAGACAGGATAAGGCATTTGCCAGGGCAACCAAACAGGCCTTTAGTGACACAGTACTCAGGCTACATCACAGTTAATGAGTCTCATGGGAGGGCCCTCTTCTACTGGTTCTTTCAAGCCCAATCCCAACCCTCAATCAAACCTCTCATTCTATGGCTAAATGGAGGTATCATTAATTATTATTATTCTTTTTGTGCATTCTGTATTTATTTTGTTATTTTGTTCTAAAATAAACTTTTCAATTACAAGTAGTGTCTTTTTACATTACTTGTGTATAAATTTGAATCACAAACTTCTTTTTTTATAAATCTAATTTTTACTGTTTTGGGAATAAATAAATAAATAGAAGGGCGTGTTTGGTATGAAAAAAAAACAGGGCCAGGTTGCTCATCAATTGGATATGGAGCTGCTTCAGAGTTGGGTCCTCTCAGAGTTCAGGAAAATGGGTCTGCTCTTCACTTCAACAATTATTCTTGGAACAAAGGTTTCATTTTCTTCTCATTTACTACCTTCGTATCAGTGTAGTTGTCTATTTTAAGTTAAACTGGACAAATTTTAAACATTGACTACTCTTAATTTGTATTGCATTGAATAAAAGTTTAAAAGTTATGAGGTGTGCACGACTGGGCTTTCAAGTTTTAAAAGTCCATGAATAGTCTTTCAATTTTATGAGTTGTGCACGATTGGTCCTTCAAGTTTCAAAATTCCATAAGTAGTCTTTTAGGTACACCTCATCCCTCCAGATGAGGTCCTTTTGACAGTAAACAGTAAAAGCTAAATGGAATACTAGTTTCATATAGTACGAGTATATTTCACTAGGTACGACCACTCCGTATTATATGGAGCTAGTACTACATTTAACTTTTAACGTTTACCGTCAAATTAAATTTATCTAGAGAGCTGACGTGTACTTGAAGGACAACTTTGTTCGACTCGAACAACTCAAACTAGACAAATACACTGAGACGGGAGGAGTGAATATCATTTATGTGATTCCAAGTTTTATTCTTTGTTATTAAATGCGGCCTTGTTGGGCTTCCGTTACGCTTAAAATTATAATAGTATTCGATCTGAATTAAATAACGTTAGCATTTTGAGTAACTTTTTAAATTATGCAAATGAACTCTAAAAATAGTAATGCTTTTTTAATGGAGTATAATAAATATAATATTATGCTAAAAAAAGTTTGAAACAAACTTTAAGAAAAATGAAAGATAGTTGAAAGTGATGCGGAGGAGACAGAGATGATAAACTACAAAATGCTTTTTAAAATATGAAACATGAAGCTTTTTGGGATGTCTCAAAAAGAAAAATAGGAAAATTAGTTTGGGACAAATGAAGTTTTTTGTTAGGCCCGAGATCGGGTCTTACCCTCGTAACCCGACCTCTTTGTCCTCTCCCCAAGCATTTTTGCCTAAATGCTACAGTACCAAAGGAACCTAGTACTTCCACGTTCATAATTTTTTTTATTTTGACTTTTATAAAATTTAAAGCATATACTTCCTTCGTCCCTAAATAGATTACAATTTTTTTCTCTCTTCTCTCGATAACTTTTGTTTGTTTACGCGATTTCATTAAATATTTAATAAAATAAAATATTCTTGTCATCTCTTGTTTTGTAGAACTTTTGATGTAGTTTTTTAATATGTAATTTTTATATCTTATTGATATACTAATTTGTATGGTTTCAAAAAGTAGCAAATTTTACTTCGTAACTCGCAATTTGTAATTTATTTAGGAACGGAGGGAGTATATTTTTGTGTTGAATTTCCCAAATTATCTTTTATGTGATATGTAAAAGTATGATGCAAAAGGTTGACTATTAGTGAATAAATATCATGTGATGAGTATGGTAAGAATTAATAAAGGTAAAAGTAGGGAGAAAGAACAAAGTAGGACTAAAACATTGAAAACATACCAAAATAGGACTTCCATGTTTTTATTCCCGAAATAGGACTTACATTACTTCGTACCAAACATGGTCATATACATTACCAAAAAAGTATAGTAATCTGCACATGTACACTGTCACATTACTACAATGCAAAGTCACATTACCACAGTGCAAAGTCCTATTCTGGGAAAAAAACATGAAAGTCCTATTTTGGTACTTTTCTCTATGTTTTAATCCTATTTAGGATGATTTCTAGTAAAAGTACTTGATTGATTTCCTTTTTTTAACCATTTCACATTTCGTTTAAAATGCAGAAGCCAATTTATTGTTTGTGGAGTCTCCAGTGGGCGTTGGCTTCTCATACACAAACACTTCCTCTGATTTGACCACTCTGGATGACCACTTTGTTGGTAAAAATTAAAATCACTTCATAATCTTAAAAGGAAATTATACTAATTCTTCTCTTTTTCTTTTTTTAATTTTTTGTCACTTGTATCACATTCTCTTTTTACTATTGGTACTATTTAGCCCAAGATTCATACAACTTTATAGCCAATTGGCTTGAAACATTCCCACAGTTCAAGAATCATGACTTCTTCCTTGCAGGAGAGAGCTATGCAGGTCATTCTTTACAAAATACTCCCTCCGTCCCTAAAAACTCGTTCTTAGAAATAAAAACGTAACTTCAATATGTCGACGATGAATTATATTGCAGGCCACTATGTTCCCCAACTAGCCGAGGTTATTTTTGACCGAAACAAGGATAAGAAGAAATACCCACACATAAATCTCAAGGGTTTCATAGTAAGCAAAGAAATTAATATATGGTTGGGTTTGGCTCTCTCTGCTATGGTTATAGTTTCACAAAGAGTGCCATTGAATTCTATATTATATTGAGAAATTTGCAGGTGGGAAACCCAGAAACGAATGATTATTATGATTACAAAGGGCTTTTGGAATATGCATGGAGCCATGCAGTGATTTCAGATCAAAACTATGACAAAGCCAGAGAAGCATGCGACTTCGCAAGCTCTAAATGGTCGAATGAGTGCAACGAAGCCATATCAACTGTGTTCTCGAGATACGAAGAAATCGATATCTATAATATCTATGCACCCAAATGTCTTTTGAACGACTCTTCGTCGCAAATGGGTATTAATAACAATGCAAATGGAAGGTTGATAAAGCGAATCCCAGCAGGGGGTTACGCGCCGTGCTATTCATCCTATGCAGAGGATTACTTCAACAAGATTGACGTTCAAATGGCTTTCCATGTGAATATTAGAGAACCCGTAGGCTCAACCGTCCATTGGAAGACATGCAGGTCAGTCATTTCCATCATTTTCAGTTCATATTTAACAAATAGAAGTTTCTAGGTTGTAATTAAAACTCCTAACAAATACTTCATCCATTTCAGAAACACTGTCTATTGAATGAATATAGACATAATTACGTCTACATTCATTCAAGATTTAATAGACAGTTATTGTGGAACGGATTGAGTATGAGGTTTCTATTTTGCCAAAAGATAGCCAACATTTGGAGCTAACATTTGTTACTCATCATCAGCGATCCTGTGTATAATGCGTACAAGTCCACTGCCTTCTCCGTGCTCCCGATATATCAAAAGCTAATTAAAGGAGAACTCAAAATTTGGATTTACAGGTTAGAAACACAACTAGTACTATATAAGTAGCATTACATATATAGCACGAAAACATAGCCAGTTTAAATTGTTACCGGGTGTTAATATACATGTTTGGTTGAAAAAGTGGGGATGCTGATGGGAGAGTGCCAGTGATTGGGACAAGATATTGGATAGAAGCTCTTAAGCTGCCTCTGAAAACCCAATGGCGCTCTTGGTTCCACAATCATCAGGCAAGTGGTTTGTCCAAAAAGATATGCCATGTTAACTATTTCTGCATAGCTAGCTAATTAGTCTTTAACAAGTTGTAGTAATGTTTGAAATGGTTGTTGCAGGTTGGAGGAAGGATAGTTGAATACAATGGATTGACGTTTGTAACGGTGAGAGGGGCAGGTCACCTCGTACCACTCGATAAACCGAGCGAAGCTCTAGCACTTGTACACTCTTTCTTGTCCGGCGAAGAACTTCCGCGACAGAGATGAACATTAAGCTTCTTTTATTTATCTATATCATTTGGAAGAAATTATGAACCTAAGAACACAAATTAAAGTGGATTGGTTCAAATTAAACATGTTTGTGTGAAGTTACACAAGTTCTTGTTGAAAGTTCGTGGGGTGTGGCGGAATTCACCAAATAAAAGCAATGCAAACAAATCAATCAACTATGCTACTGAGGGGATGTTGTAGCACTGTCACAGAAACATATGACAGACACTGTGCTATAACACTTTTTCCATCACAAGCACACACACAGAAGCAGATGATGCAAAGAGTGTTACAACACCTACTGTGCAGAATGTTGTAACTATAAAATGTGTAAAAAAGAACACCAGATGTGTTTACGTAGTTTCGAGAACTCTCCTACTCTACGGGGTCCAGGTCTGTGTAATAGTCATCCACTAAATCACTAGATGCAAGTTACACCAGTACATAACAGCATGATGAGATACATTTCTCCGAATTGTTATGACAAAACTTTTAATTTAGGATTTCTAACTAGGATCCTTTTTAAATCTGCTTTAGCTATCTCATCTCCACCGAGATCACAAGGAAAAATATGGTTGGCAACTCACATGTTCAGCTTTGGTTCATCTCCGGGATAATGTCACTAAAAGAAATGCATAAAAGATAAGAGAGGGACAGATAAACTTAACATGAAGGAGATGGAGTAAATAAAAGTTAACACTAAGGAACAAGAAAATAAACGTTCAAATGATAAATCTAAAGTTGGAACTCCCTAAGGGTCCGTTTGGTATAAAGAATTGGTGGAATTGGAACTGAATTAGAATTGAAATTCCATAGAATTGAATTCTGTCAATTTCAATTCATTTTTTGCACTATCAATTCCAAATTCACATAATTTTTGTGCTACCAAACATCAGAATTGGAATTGAAGTCTCCAATTCCAATTCCATAGTTTGAATTCTATATACGGGACCTAAAATAAAATGAAAAGTTGAAGATCAAGAAGAAATCTAATCTAAGAATGAAAAAAGGGAAATGAGGAAGCTCTTTTGATAATACGGGTCAAGGGTGTATAAATAGAGTACGAGAAGTTGCCTTCGCCTCGTGCTCGCCCGTCGTTGTGCTCCGATCACCGCCAGAGTTATTGCCTCTACTGCTCGCTGCCAGACTTGTATTAATATTAATATTAGTATTAGTATTAATATTTGTAACGCCCCAAAATATACCCTAAAATTTATTGAATTAAATATTCAAATAAACAAAATTTGTTTTGATTAAAATAAATTATGATTGGGTTTTGGGTCGATGTAAAATATGTTTTGATATCCAATATCAAAATCTGTATAAGTTTCATAGAGATAAATACAACATGTTGATTTATTATGTGATCTCGATTGGAAACTTGTGTATATACCTAAATTAAGAATAAATAAAGAAATTGTTGTGATAAGAACTTTGAAATAAATTCTTGAAATAAACCATGGGAATAAATTAATTGTGAGAACCTTGTATAATAAAAGTCAATTAAATCAATTTTGACTCTATCAAGGTCAAACACCCAAAAATATGATGTCGAAAAAAAGTTACAAATAAATAAAAAAAATATACCGTTGGATAGCGTTTAACTGTCTGATCGCAACGGTGCAAACGGAATTCAATTCGGAGAAAGTTGGACAAAAAAGTGTACCCCCACTGGAACCAAATTGGTCCCAATCCGGGAACGGCGTGTAGATCAATTAGAATCACCGTCCTGCGCACTAAGAAATTTCTACGTAGAAATGAGTCAGCTACCAATGTCTTCTTCCCCTTCTCTTCTCCTATATAAGGATATCCAATCCTTACCAATTCTTCATCAATTTCCTCGAAATATATACCATTGTGTTCATAAGAGTAAGGAAAGCAGTCTGGTGTTGTTGGTTGCCGCCGAAGTCGCCGGTATTGGGAGTAATCGTCGCCAGAAGTTTCGCAAGAAAATTCTCAAAATCTTCGATAAGCTTTGAGATAAGCCCGTAGATATATCTAGTGATTAGAATGTTCGTATACATCGTTTCTACGTTCATAAACGGTCGTTTGGTTGAGTTTTGTGTTTGGCATGCTTGAAAACCAAAAATCATAAACCATTAAATTGATGTTAAAACTATGAATTAATGATGCCAAAATGAGCTATGAACCTTGGAGAACATCTCTATATAGTTTCGTTGAAGTTCAGTGACTAAAAACGGTTTTTCCGAAAAATGGACCGAAGGTTGAAGAAGATGACCAGTAATTTGAAACTTCCCTGTCTGGATCGATCATATGGCTTGGATCGATCCTCTGGGATAGTTTTTCACATCACCCCCCAAAGTTCTGATCCGAAAATTTGTCCGAAATTGCTATTTTTGAGCTCTAAAATCCTATTTTTGATACCAATTGATTATAATTATTTTAAGGACAATTCTTTACAATAAAAATGATGTTTTTAACAAATAAAAATGTTATGTGATGCATGACGGTAAGTTCGGGTGTTAACACTCGAAACTAGACTGCTATTTGTTATCAATTGATATGTTGATTGATGATTATGATGAATGATTATTATGGATGATGATGAATGATGAACTTACTGATTAAAATTATTATTTATGATTGAACCATGAGTAAAATAAATATATTGATAATTATTAAACGATTTGTATTGTTAACGGTATCTAGAAAACTCTAAGATATACCATTAGTTAATTGATGTTAAGGCTATCTAGAAGACTTCTAGAATAGATCTTGTATTATAATAGACTTATGAAAACATGAATATTTGATGAATTAGATAAAAATGTATAAACGGGATTCATAGACCAAACTAGAGGATTACTCGTTTGGGAATGTCTGATCCAATGTTGATCAATCGCTATATTGTTGTTGCCTTAACCGACTACGGTTAAGTGTCCGAATCGTTTGCCTTAAACTAGTGATAGTTTAAGTGTCTGATTGCCTTAGATTCACTTTATATGGATGTTCGACGCATTAGATATGCTTACTCAGCTTTACAGCTGAGCGTGTAGTGTGTTTTATTTGCTACACGCAGGTAAACAAAAAGAATGATGTGATGGAATCCTGGCGGCAGACGGAGCGAGATGGTCAAAGTGGATGTGTGAAATGAATTAAAGTTTAAAAAGACATAATATAATTATGTTTTTAATTGTTATTTATTCAGCTTCCGCAACATTAACTACTCTGTTATTATTCTGAATAATTTATTATGAATTTTTTTTAAATGCTTGAAATCTTTTGAATGTTTACGAATAACAAGTTTATACTTTAGTCCGAAAGGGGCTGTAGACCTGGACGGATTGGGGTGTTACAATATTAATATTCATTATTCATGTTCATATTAATATTAAAATTCGTTATTCATGTTCATATTCATATTCATGTTCATGTTCATGTTCATATTCATGTTCATGTTCATGTTCATATCCATATCCATATTCATATTCATATTCATATTCATATTCATGTTCATGTTCATGTTCATGTTCATTAAAAATATATGTCAATAAGTTTTTTAGTTATTGCTCATGGAAACTAGTAGTTAGAAAATTTTGAAAGGAGTTGAAAAATATTAAAGTTAAGTGTTCAAATACAAACGAACAAAGTCTAGTTTCAAATGTTAAAGATCGCAAGTTCATTTTTCACACACAAACTCCATATCTGCTACAGGGTGCTTCACAAGATGTAGCATCGTCGAAGAATAGTAACTCTAAAAGTCTAAATAAAATAAAAATCTCCTAAAAATTAGTAATTTCTACCTTGTAAAACTCTACCAAAATTGAGTTCTATTTTGCTAAATGATCAACCAACAACTTGGAACCAATAAGAACTCTAACAAATATTTAGGCCGTTTTCCATATAATATAAAAAGATTGAAAAGTTATAATACATTTTTTCATTGAGATGTAGAGCTTGTAAATCGGTCGATCGGGTTTGGATTCAGTCACTTTAGGTCCGGGTTTGGGTCAATTCGGGTTGAGAACAGTACATTCATGGCCTAGTGTCATCCGATTTGGGTCGACGCAACGAGTTATGACTATAGTTTTTGAATTTTTAAACTCATATTAATACTTGCATTTTGCATTAAATAAATTTAAAATATCAAAAAATATGTATTAAATTTATTAGATTATTTCATTTTAAATTGTGGAGTAATTTTTAGATATATAAATCAATATAAAAAATTTAAAAAATGCATAAGTTTTGGAAAAAAGTGAAATAATTATGCAATATCATTAAAATTTTGTTCAAAAATATAAATTTATACACTAAAAACGAGTAGTAAGAAAAAAATGTAATTATGACCTTATTTTTATAACATTATATTTCATAGTAAATTATATAATTTTGAAAAACTCTTACATTAGCGAGTCGGTCAGGTCGGATTACGGTTCGGTCGGGTTTGACTGTTTTTTAGCAGGTCATTTCTGGTTCGGTCAATTTCGGCTTCGATCATCAAAACCTTTGTTTAAAATTTAGTACTTTCGGGTTGGATTTCGGGTAAAAAACAGATCGGGTAATTTTTTGTCTGGTGATGTATTTGTCATGTTTGACTCTTTATGACCTTCTAAATATTTGAATGTTTTAATCTAACGTAAGAGCGATGTTTACATGTTTCCAAGGTCCACATTTAAAATGTGAATCTTCTCACATTTTTCATGAGCTTACGTGTGGATATTTTTTTAAAAAAAAGTCTCACTTCTTTTTTTCTACAAATACAATAAAGTCCATAAAATTAACATAGAACGTAATTATATCCTTTGAAAAATTAGTATTTGAATAGTTTTGTGAAAGTGTTTTACGAGACAAAGCATATGGCAGAAACTTTTCATTATAATTCAAAGTTTTCTATGTAAATTATCCGTAATATTCAAAGTTTGAAAACATTGGACGAGGATCTAAATTGGGCGAGTATAACAACAACAACAACCCAGGTGAATCCCACAACATTAGGGTCTGGGGAGGGTGTATGTACGTAGACCTTTCCCCTACTCGGAAGTAGGGAGGCTGTTTCCAAGAGATCCCCGGCTCCACCTGCACAAAAATATGGAAGGGAACAAAGTATAACACAGATAAAGTACCAAGTACAAGCAACATGTACAAGCAATAGCAGAAGATTCCTAACAAATACAACACACCACAAAACAACCTCTACAACACCGAGTTCCTATCCAGCTACTCTAATCCTAGTTTTCCAAAGGTTCCTATCTAGGGCCATATCCTCAGTCAGGTCGAGAAGTCCTAAATCCTGCCTAATCACCTCCTTCCAATTCTTCCTAGGTCTACCCCTTCCCCTACTTCCCCCGATAACCGTAATCCTCTCGCATCTCCGTACAGGGGCGTCAGCATCCCGCCGTCTCACATGGCCAAACCATCTCAACCTTGCTTCCCGCAACTTATCTTCCACCGGTGCCATGCCTACCTGACGTCGGATAACTTCGTTCGAAATCCTATCCAACCTTGTCTTCCCACACATCCATCGTAACATCCGCATCTCTGCCGCATGCAGACGACGCACATGAGTCTTCTTAACCGCCCAACACTCTGCCCCATATAACATAGCAGGTCTGACTACGGAACGAAAGAACTTACCTTTCATTCTAGGCGAAATCTTCGGATCACACAACACCCCTGAAGCTAACCGCCATTTGGCCCAAGCCACTCCAACACGATGTCCAACATCCGCATCTAACTCCCCATCAGCCTGGATTACCGAGCCAAGATATCGAAACCTGTCTACCTTAGATACTAGATGAGAGTCAATCCTGACTTCCACCTCTGATTCTGTATCCCGGTCGCTGAAACGACATTCCATGTATTCAGTCTTGTTCCTACTTATTCTGAATCCTTTCGTCTCAAGGGCAAGGCGCCATAATTCCAACTTATCGTTTAGTCCCTCACGTGTGTCGTCGATAAGCACAATATCATCCGCGAAAAGCATGCACCATGGGACCCCTTCTTGAACACCTTGAGTTAGGACGTCCATCACCAAGGCGAACAAAAAAGGGCTAAGGGCAGACCCCTGGTGCAACCCCATCCCTACCGAGAAAGAACCTGAGTCGCCCCTGGAAGTCCTTACCTTGGTCATAGCCCCATCGTACATATCCTTGATCGCGCGGGTGTACACGATGGCAACTCCTCTCGCCTCAAGGCACCTCCATAAGACCTCCCTTGGCACCCTATCATACGCCTTTTCAAGGTCAATAAACACCATATGAAGGTCCTTCTTCCTAGCCCTATACTCTTCCATTAATCTCCTCACGAGATGAATGGCCAGCTTAACCTCCTCACGAGATGAATTGGGCGAGTATAGATAGGCTAATTAGTAGATGATCTTTCCACAGCTTATTTTCCGGCTTTGACTTTAGATAAATTTGAATACAAAATAAGAATATGTTTGGCATTTTCCTTAAAAAAATTTTGGCATTTAACTTTTGTTATTGATGATACTCCGTATAATAAATTGAGGAAAAAAGCATTTCAAAAAATGAAAAGTAAAACGGAAGGATAAAAAGATGTTTTAATGGTAAAAAAAGGTTGGGAGTAAATAGTACGGAGTCTATTAATTTGGATTATGCTAGGAACCATCACGGTTGTCCATATCGATGACAATAACACATAATTTATACATACACAAATGATAATAAACATCTGTGATTGTGATTCGTGGGATACCCATGGTGAATTTTTAGCATTATTTTTTAACAATCATGCTACACTTACATCAAAAAGTGTACTCAAAGTAACACTAAAAATATGCACTAACATTTTGATGGTTCGATGATGTGTTAACAAAAATTTGCACTAACATTTTGTGTCTGTTTACACTGACACAAAATGAAGGTGCAAACATGCAGTGTACAAATTGGGGTACAAATAACTTAATCTTTCTTTTAATTTAATGAAATGGGAAATTATCATTTGTCAAAAAGTGGATAAGTTAGTCCAAAGAAAAAAGTGGATAAGGGGAGATAAATGATTTGTCATGTAGGACCACAAATGTATATAATAATGGGTGTAATAATAATAACAAGGAGAGATTCCTATTCCTATTTCCTACTCTATTTAATTCACTTGCTCTGTGTTACTAACTAACAGAGAACAAAAACAGAGTTAGTTAATTGGATATATTACTCCCTAAATGGCTAATAATCAACCAAACACACCAGCTTTACTTTTCATTTGTTTTCTCTGTTTATGGCTTTCATGCACAGATTCTTCATCTTCATCTTCTTCTTCAACCCAAAAAGCACAGGATTTAGACAGGATAAGGCATTTGCCAGGGCAACCAAACAGGCCTTTAGTGACACAGTACTCAGGCTACATCACAGTTAATGAGTCTCATGGGAGGGCCCTCTTCTACTGGTTCTTTCAAGCCCAGTCCCAACCTTTGCTCAGGCCTCTCATTCTTTGGCTAAATGGAGGTACACTAGCCTATATAGTACTCTTTATTAGTTTATAGTAAAATTTGCACTAAATAGGACTAAAACATAATGATTTTTCTGATGTAGAACTTAAACTTTTTTATTCCCTAAATAGGACTTAATAATGACCTAGTGGGAGGAATAATGTCTAGTAATGATGAACATTTACTTGAATAATGACTACTTGATAATGACCAAAAGTCCTACATTGGTAAATAAAAACATATGGTCCTATATTGGGAAAGTCATTATGTTTTAGTCCTATTTAGGTAAATTTCTCTTATCTACTTGTGTGTTTTGTTAGAGTACAAAAACTGTTTTTGGGCCTACAATCTTAAACTTGAGCCTTTTAGTTGAGTTTCTATCTAGACACGGGTACCACAAATTCGAATTTGAGACACGGTGATTGAGGGGTCACGAGTTTGAACTTTACTACTATCCCGTTTTTCAAAAATTTGAGATCTCACGTGCAATGTTTGAAGTAGTAACACCTACGACACATGCGAGTGCGTGTTGAAATACAAGAACATTTCCCGAGCTTGAGCAATAGGGAGTGGGTTGTGTTTGTGGTACGTGTAAGGATCACATGTTAAACATGATCGTCCTTCATCATCGTTACCAGAATTTGAATCCAATCATTATACCCTTTTGCACTGTCTATGGAGCAACTAAACCAAAGGATATGGTCCATTATATTAATGGCGGAGGTCGCTTCTTTTGACGTTTAATTTCAAAGTCATGGAATGACTTGGAGCACCTACAATGCTCAATTCGTAGAATAGATTATTCTTATCCCCTAGCCCTCCATCCACCCAAAAAGAGTTTCGGGGTACATATGTAAAATTATCAATAATTAAAATTTTCATTGCCTATTAAGGATTATAGTTTTAGATTTCAAATTCATATTTCACTGGAATTATGTTGTTTAGAAATTCCAAAAAATAGATTTTCGTCAAATTATCTAATTCTCAAGGTGGTTGTATTGATAAACTTAAAACAACATATTTAATGCCGCCACAGTAGCACTACATCAAAGGTTAAAAGCTACAATAAACTTACAACAAAAAACTTACAACAAAAATTTTAAAAAACGGAGTATTTGCATTCAATTAAAATAAACAAAAACAAATTATATTGAATTACATTAATCAAAATATTTGTTTCTTTAATTGAAATAAATAATATCGTAGCATATACTTGTATATATGAAGTTGTCCTTCCGTAGTCCTAAGGTCGAAATTAAAAATGTCGATCTTCTCATATTTTTCATGGGTTGGTAATAAGTGGATCCTTTTTTTTCAAAAAGTCCAATTCTTTTCCAATTTCATTGCACTAAGGTCCATAAAATGAGAATGAACCTCCCTTCCCCCATAAACCAACTCTCTGGTTTTAAATTCAATTTTGCGCTTGTGGGCGTTGCACAGTTGGCAAAGGCAGAGAGTGCCAAGGTGGTAGGTAGACGCGAGTTCGATTTCCGACAATTGCGATGTGAGGCAACTATATTAAGCATCTCTGCAAGTATCAGGTGTAGGCTTTATTCCCTGCTACCAATCTACGGGTCTAAAGGGGTCCTCAGAGATGAGGTTCATCTTTTTTAAGCCAATTTTGCAAATTTAAAAACTAATTCTCTCTACAATAGATTGGATAGAGTTCTCGCCCTAGCCTCTATATATGAGCTTTAATTTCCTCTTCCGATTCTCTCTCCATGAGAGTCCCCCATGGCGTACCATATTTCCTCACTGATCCCTCCATCACCTTGGAAGCAATGTGGCAGGCTTTGGATTCCATGCAAACATCCGCCCGCGTTCACTCATCCTCCTTTCTGAAACCCGAACACTCCCTTCGAGAATCCTCTACGTCAAGGAAGCTCTCACTTGGCTAATGTTGAGAAATGTACGGTTACAATGACGGGCATACGAATGGCCCCAGGAAAAGAACAAGTCCTGGAATCACTTGAAACTAGAGAGGGAGAAAGGAAAGCAGAGTCGTCGAAACTTTCCTTAAAGTAGTAGCGCTGTCTACGCACTTACCAACATGGACACTCTCCTCCCAAGATTAAAGCGTTATTGCACAACTCAGTTGTATAGTCTATAGTTGTGCCTGTGAACAAGAACAACATCAAAACTGTTATCGACCGGAAAAGGGAGAAGAATTTCCCGAATATCTCTTGAGCTCTCAAAACGTGGAAGTATTTCACTCTACTTATTTTTGAGACAACAACATAACTCTGTTTATATGAGCAGTCTTTAAAACGTTCACAATAATAATAATAATAATAATAATAATAATCATAATCATAATCATAATCATAATCATCATCATCATCATCATAATCATAATGATCGTCATTAATGTAACTGTTGAAATATTGGAATAATAATATTGCTCCTTGAATTATGGAGTACATGATAGTGTATATATAGGAGAGACTCCTAACACAACTAGGAATAGAGAATGGAAACTAACTAACATACAACATTTACCACAAATAGGATTAGGAAGCTGACTAACAATAAAACACTACCATAACCAATACTACAATAAGTACTATTAGTATTCTTGTCTAACATCCCCCCTCAAGCTGAACTCTAGTTGAAGCAAGAGGAAGCTTGGACACTAGCTGGAAATTGGAAACTTTGAGAAAAGAGAAGTCAGACATGCACCGGTGGCTGCTCACGTCGTTGAAGAAGAGAGAAGTGTGACGCGCGCCGGTGGCTGCTGACATCGTTGGAGAAGAGAGAAGTCTGACGTGCACTGTAGCTGCTAACGTCGTTGGAGAAGAGAGAAATTGACGTGCGCTAGTAGTTGCTGACGTCGAAGAAGAATAGAGAAGGCTACTGGAGGTGCCTATTTAACTGAAGATCCTTGACATTTTTTGTCTTTTTCTTGGATCCGGGCAATGCCCTATTTCCTTTTTGAATGGGTGAGTTGTAGAGGTCTTATTTCCTCTTTCACTACTTCCTCACTTGGCTTTGCTTTTGTGCTGATTTACTTTGGATTTGTATTGGTTCAACAGAAGAGAAAGAGAAGGGAGGTTGATGATTAGAATGAGTGATTTTAGAGAGAAAAAGTAGGTTAAGAATTGGAGATGGAAAAAAATTTGGGTCTGAGATTTTGATATGGTGAATTGGAGAGAAACAACAATCATTCTTTTTTCTTTTTTTCTTGGATCCGGGCAATGCCCTATTTCTTTTTTGAAGGGTTGTAGATGTATTCTTTCTCTTTCACTACTTCCTCTCTTGGCTTTGCTTTTGTGTCGTTTTTTTTTTGGAATATTTTGGGTAACAAAAGAAAAAGAGAAGAAAGATTGATGATTAGAATGAGTGATTTGAGAGAAGAAAAAAAGTGGATTAAGAATTGGTGAAGGAAAAAAGATTTGGGGTTTGAGATTTTGATATGGTGAATTGGAGAGCAACTATCATTTTTTTTCCTTTTTTTGAGAAGATAGGATTAGTTGAGAGAGTTTGTGAGGAGTTGAGTTTTTTTTTGAAGAACCATGAAGATGACAAGAGAAAAGTTCTGCCTTTGATGATTTTTTTGTATGATTTCAACAAGGTTGTTTTCCTTTTTTTCGTTTGAATGGAGACGTTGATTTGACGATAAAAGAAGGAAAAGAAAATAGAGGTGAATAGGGTGGAGCCGCCGTCGCCGGAATTACCGGCGGCGGCGGTGGGAGCAAAGAACTTTTTTTCGGTCAGCCTAAGAAACGAGAATATTATATTAGCTTTGATACCATGTTGAAATATTGGAATAATAATATTGCTCCTTGAATTATGGAGTACATGATAGTGTATATATAGGAGAGACTCCTAACACAACTAGGAATAGAGAATGGAAACTAACTAACATACAACATCTACCACAAATAGGATTAGGAAGCTGACTAACAATAAAACACTACCATAACCAATACTACAATAAATACTATTAGTATTTTTGTCTAACAGTAACCACTAATGACCATTATTTTGTAGATTACAAATGTTTCAAATGAAATCCATTCAAAAAATTAGAGGTTAATGATATGGTGAGTTAAATCTAGAAAAGAGTGAACTAATATGAGCTTAGCGTGTAAAAATAAAAGAGTTTTGGTCTGAGACCGCGTTGAGCACATGTTTGGGACCGAGCATGCGGCAGGGGCCGAGCATGTGACCTAAGGCGAGCGCGGTCATGGGATCACTTGGACTTAGAGCCAAGTCCAAGTGCCCAGGTCCCCGTACTCATCCAGGGTCCCTGGACTTTGTGCCGAGGCCAAGTCCCCGGGCTCTATGCAGCGGCCAACTCACTGGGCTTTGTGCAGAACTTAACCCGATTTTCTTGGACTTAAGCTTAAAACAACCATTTCACATACTTATGAGATTAGTTTAAAAATCAATTTCTCATTCATCTTTTTACCATCTTTTGCGTATAATGTATCCAACTGTTCATCTTTACAAGAAGAACACTCGTCCAAAGTAGGTCCAATTAATGCTTATTAAATGCCAAAATTTCTCAAGCCACTTGCTCACATCCGAGCACTAGCTAGGGTCTCTCTCAATTCCCGCGGCATTTCTACTCACTCATTTTATTAATGCTTAATTTCTTCAATTCCTTTCCTCAAAAAAGCCAAACTTGTACAATTAAATCTAGGCTTTTTTGTTTAAACCTACACCAAAACACATCATTACAACAGCAAAACCACCACCAACAAAGTCCAATTACAAACTCATATGTTTTCCCTACTAATTGTAAATCTAAATTTATCAAATAAATACTACTTCGTAGTATGTTCTGAAACACTACATATAACAATTTTTCTTCTGAGTAATAAAAGAGGTGTTTTGGTATGAATGAAAAACAAAAGGGCCAGGTTGCTCATCAATGGGATATGGAGCAGCCACTGAGGTGGGTCCCCTCAGAGTAGAGAAAGGTGGGGCCGCTCTTCGCTTCAACAACTATTCTTGGAATAGAGGTTTTCCGTTTATCCCTTACTTTGTGAAATTACGATCTTAGCCTTTCACTCAGTGTGCCTTTGTTAGTCTTTTTCGTGCTTCCACAAAAATTTACTGAATGAAAAAAATTACTCCTTAAAAGATTTACATTATTCAAGAAATAATTCAGAGTATCCTTGATTAATTGACTTTGTTATTAAATTATTTACAGAAGCCAATTTGTTGTTCTTGGAGTCTCCCGTCGGAGTTGGATTCTCATACACAAACACATCTTCTGATTTAGCTGCGATTGATGACAACTTTGTAGGTAAAAAAAATCGGAGCTAGTGATCACTACTTTCGAAAATACATGAAAATTACTTTTTTTTTTGGAAAATTACTGTGTAATTCATTTTATATGTCATTATATTACAACTTATTCTATACTTGTTGGATAATTATACATTTAGCTCAAGATTCTTACAACTTCTTGGCCAATTGGTTCCAAAGATTCCCACAGTTCAAGAATCATGACTTCTTCATTGCAGGAGAGAGCTATGCAGGTTATCATACATGATATGCACACATTACTCTTAATATATATTCAATAAATCTATTTCTACACCAAATTAATGTGTGTGCTCCAACTTTGCCCCAACCAAAATTTAGACTAAACAAACATAACCTATCCGTGACCTAATCCAAATTTTAAATGATGTACATTTGGTGTACACCGTTCTAGTATTCATCTATACTGAGCTCTTACTAGTTTGAATTTGAAATTTTTAATAAATTGCAGGACACTACGTTCCCCAACTTGCGGAAATTATTTTTGATCGAAACAAAGATAAGAAGAAATACTCATACATAAATCTCAAGGGTTTCATAGTAAGTATCATTCTTTTAAGAAAAATGATAATAATAATAATAATACTCTTGTCACTATATTTTGTTTTTGTACCAAATGCACACATGCATGGTGATTGGTGATTGCAAATTTTTAGTTTATACAATTCTATATATTAAGTATTAATTAGGAATTCACTTTTTTTACAGGTAGGGAACCCAAGTATGGATAATTATAATGATAACAAAGGCTATTTAGATTATGCTTGGAGTCATGCAGTGATTTCAGATGAACTCTATCATGAAGCCAAAAGGGCATGCAACTTTGCAAGTTCTACTTGGTCCAATGAATGCATTGAGGTCATGACCAATATATCCAATGCTTATAAGGAAATTGAAGACTTAAACCTCTATGCTCCCAAATGTCTTATGAACTATCCTTCTTCGTCGCCGTCGTCGTCTGCAACCCGTACCCATCACATGCAACTAAATTCGCGTCTTACTAATAAAAGAAATATTGCGGCCCATGCCAAAGAGGAGAAGTCAAAGCAAATTCCTGGGAGTTTCGCTACGTGCTACTCGACGTACGTAGACGAATACTTCAACAAGATTGAAGTTCAAAAGGCTTTTAGTGTGTTGAATGAAGTCAAGTGGAATGCATGCAACTATGAGTTGTTAAATGCATACAATTTGAGTATCATTTCAGTTTTGCCTGTTTATGAAAAGCTTATAAAAGCTGGACTCAAAATTTGGATCTACAGGTAACTAAGTGACACTTCTTTTTCCCTTTCTGCCCCTCCATCTATATATCACTTTCACTGCAAATATTAATTTTTTAGAATTGGATAGCGATGAAGTTCGAACTTGTGATTCCTTGATAAAAAACATGCTCTCTATACTAAAATAGGACCTTCAAAATGTTTATAACAAAATAGGACGTACTATAGTGTCAAATAGTTCCTATTTATATATATGATATATAAAAACATAGGAGGTTTTATTTTGGTATATGTTCTATGTTTCAGTTGTATTTCGATAGATTTCTTAACGAGAAAATAAATTTAAAAAAAAGCTCGAGTTTGTAATTCTGGATTTACGAAAGATTTTTATACATACTCTAACATATTTGTCGTTGTTTGTGGAACAAAGTGGGGACTTGGATGGGAATGTACCTGTGATTGGAACGAGATATTGCATAGATGCTCTTAAACTGTCTCTAAAATCCCAATGGCGTGTTTGGTTCCACAATCATCAGGCACGGGTTTGATTAATTAGATGCATATCATTAGAATTATTCGACATTTTTACGTTATTTTGTGATCGAAAATATTTAATAGAGATTTTTTTTTTTTTGAAAGTGGCAGGTTGGAGGAAGGGTAATTGAGTACAATGGGCTGACATTTGTAACAGTGAGAGGAGCAGGTCATCTTGTACCTCTCGATAAACCAAGTGAAGCTCTCGCGATCATACATTCCTTCTTGTATGGCGAAGAACTCCCAAGGGAGAGATAAACATTTTTCTTAGCTCTTTTGTTTATTTGAATCAATTGGAAGAAGCTAAGGATTCACCTAAAAAGCCAAGTTGGTTGTTACTAGCTAGCATTATTCTCTTGATCAGCATGTTTGTGAAAGGCTATAAACTTGGACAAGTTCATGTTTCATCTCAACTCCAAGAACTTATATGGAGTGGAGTGTATGTTTGAGATTTTGGTAGCATTTTATATATAATTTTCTTAATTATAATATGAATCTTGAGAAATGTTGGGATTTTATCGTGAATTATTTTTTAGAGGTAAAATTAGGTTTAAGGGTGAGTGTTGTTTATAGTTACATAAAGCAATCAAGCAAGTTTCTGAGAATATATAGTTATCATGTACCTTGACTGCGTATAGATCTTTACATATAAAGTAAATTCTAATAAAATTAAATAAATATATACCCGATTTTCGGCAAGGTTTCGTTGACACGCATTTTGAATGTCACAGATGACACTCTTTTTTGAGTGTCAACGGATGACACCGTATCCAATTAGAGTATCTATGATGCTCCATTCATAAAATCGGAGATTCCTACTCATCTAATTCCCCGGTAAACTCCCAACCCCGACCAGACTTAAATTGGCCCTCCAATCTTTTCAATTTCATCTCTAAATTTTTGTTGACTTTTGAGTCAAATTTTTGAAAGAAATTCTAAACCAAATGAATTTGAGTTTCGCACAAAAAATCATCCAATTTGGAATCAAAATAGACCAGAATTTTCATTGTCATTGTGGAGATGGACAGTGAGGTGGTGTACAAGGCAATCCAAGAAAATGCAAAAAATTACTCTTATTTTTGGAATGTTATTTCCGATTGTAAGATAATGATGCGAGATTTTGACTCTCCACATTATCAATTGTTAGAAGATCAGCGAATCAAGTAGCTCATATGTGGGCGTGAGCGTCTGATTCTGAGCCTGAATTTTTGGTGTGGGTTCAGGTCCCTCCAATATTTATTTCTTAAGCATTGTACTCTGATTTGCATTGATATTAATCCATTGATTTTAAAAAAAAAAAAAAAAGACCAGAACTTTTTCCACCCTTAATTTCTAGACCGGTCCAAAACTTATTGGTTTAGTCCAAAATGGTTTTCCAATCCGGTCGCTTCCCCATTTTGTTCACCCCTACGGCCCCTACCCGCAAAGATCAGAAAACAAGCGCTCCCCAACAGATCTGAGAACTGCCTGCTATCTTTTAACAGCCACTGAAGCTTGCGCCGTCGGTGTCCCGGCCGTGTTTCCGGCGTTTGACCTCGAATCCGATCAACTATACGCCAGTGTACTGCACGCGATCTCTCCTCTGGTAGGTTTATCGTCTCAATGCTTCATAGACTTTAATTTTACGAACTCTGAGTAATGGATTGGAAGTGTCCGTATTTTGAGCAGCTGGATTCTGTACATCGAAGTTTGAATTTAACAAGGGGAACTGTATATTTTCTACAGCCAATGAATTCGGACAATTGATTGATCTCCTAAATGTTTTTACCTTCTCCCTGATCACCAATGGTGGATTGTGTCACTCCATTTTAGGTTTCCTATTGCTAATTTCTTTCATTATTTCTTTATTTTCGTAGAAATAAATTATGGGGCATCCACATTTATTTGTTCAAGTTTTTGGGGTGTATGGAAAGAATTACGTAGTATATACTTAACATATTTTAGGTAAACAAATTATTCTGAATTGTCAAAAATACCTCCTTTGGTAACTTGAAAACAACCTTTCTACTTTCAAGTAGGAGTAAGGTATGTGTGAGAGTCCCTAGTTTTAGTAAAGTTTTCCTGGGTTTGTTGTTGTCAAAAGTACCTCTTAAAGATAATTCTGTCATTGTTGCCATCTATGAACAAAACTTAAATTTCAAGGAATTTTTCACCAGTTAACATCCATTCCTTAAATTGGAGTTATATTAGAAAGTGGATGACTGGATACGGACAGGGAGAGTATAAATTTTACTCCATGTTGGACATTAAGAAATAAGGATTCAGTAAATTACAAATTTTCTTGGATGGAATTACGCTTTGCAGTGCAGTTGTGTTGACTAATATGAGTGATTTATTGACAGCAAAGGCACCTGAAGGATCATGGCTGGGCACGATAATTCTAAAGTGGCAAAAGAAAAATCAAGCAATGAAATAGATGAGTTGCCAACATTCAATGCTGAAAATATGCAGAACAATGTGAAAATCATTTACTACAGGTTTGTATCCGAGCTTCTCTGAGACCCTCAGGTCTAATTGTTAGAAGATTGTGCAATCTGATGAATTGATTATGAGTACTTGGTGGGATATCTGACAAAATATGTGTAGGAAATTGAAGTGTACAACTCATACAAGAATAATCAATCGATAAGTATATGCTATGCCTAATGAACAAGACCGTATGTTATTTTGAGGCTCAGTTTTTTCTTGCAAAAGACGCAAGCTAGTAGTTAACAGGAAGGAAATCTGTTAATTTTTTCATGAGCGCATGGAAACACAAATCACATATAGAACAATTCATTTACGGAATATTAGACTATAATCAAACCAGTATATCTCAATCAAGACTAGGGTCTAAGGAGGCAAGCTGTTCGCAGACCTTAAGTCGACCCCAATGAGTAGAGAATATTTCCATGAGGCGATTAGCACATGATAGAATCATTATGTAATGGAAAGAGTGAAATACTTGTTGATTTAGTGACTTAAAATATTATAGCATAGGGTAGAAGTTTAGGAATCGACGAATGGTATTACCCCCTAAGACATTTGAGAGTACACTTGTATTTTTCTGGTTTGTGCAAAAAGCATCCTTTTTTATACTTACTACTGAAAGTGCAATTATTTTACTTAATTAAATTTTATTAGAAAGATATATTAAGTTCCCTGCTGTCTTTCATTTTCCATCTTCTGTGTCCTTATTCCACATCCCTTGCGGACAATATTCCACTTAACGCTAAAGTATGTTTTTGCCTATTTCTCAGCCGCACGTTCATGGCCATCATTGGTGGTGTAATTGCTGGAGTTTTGGGATTAACTGGCCTGATGGGATTTATATTTTATTTCCTTATCATGGGAATTACGTCAGTAGGGTTGCTTGCAAAGGCCAAGTTTTCAGTCTTTTCATACTTCGAAAGCTGGAACCGGATCATGCTTGATGGATTTCTAGGGGGGCTAATGGTATTTCCTTGAAAATCCATTATTTCTTGTATCTAGGTTTTTTCCCTGATTATCATTATTCCTCATGTGTGTTGGTTGTGCAATTCTGGTCTCTGGATTGCTCCATCTTCGTTTTCCCTCCTGTGATAGTAAGAGTTGATGGCATATCTGGATCTTAGAAAATGCTAGGAAAAGAAAAAATCCTAAAAAAAAAGTTATTTTCCAATGCTTATGTAAGCCTTTAACTTGGAAAATAAGGTAAATGAGTTATGATTAGTTTTTTTTAGCATATATTCAGATTTCATAGCATCTTTAAGAAAAAAAATGCTATTAAAAAATTTATTTTCTCATACTTCTGTTTGCCTTTTGGCCCTTTACATTGGAAAATAAGAGAAATGAAAATGATTGCCTATTTTTTAGTACATATATTCACATCTTATAGTCTTAATAAAGTCTACATCCAATTTTCTTCTCCATTTCCTCATTCTGTTTCCCTAGTACATTTTAGTGTCTAAGCAAGCTCTGACCCTGACTCTATGGTGCTTATTACTATGTGTTTATGGATATAAACTGTTCGTTTTATAATAAGCTCTTGCTTGTAATTTGGCATGAGCTTAGATGAGTACTATATTTTTATACTTTTTGAAGAAATATTTGATTGGTAATGTTTTCCATGCTGTGCAGTCGTTCGTGCTATTCTGGACGTATCCTTGCTCGATTTCCCTTCACCCACCCCACACCCCACCCCAACACACACAATGAACATATGAATATGTAGCAAGGTTCCCATGACATTAAGTTTCAACTTCATGAGATGACATTGGCCCCAATTTGGGAAATTGATGGTTCTTACCCCTCCCCCCTCCTAACCCCATGGCCCGATCTCTGACCCCTTCAATTGCACTCTCCAATTTTAGTTGACTTTGGAGAAGAAAAAAAAAATTCACTCCAAAGTCAACTAAAATTGGAGAGCGCAATCGAGGGGGGAGATAAGAACCGTCAATTTGTTGAACGGGACACCGTAGGGACCCAATTGGAGTTGTTGTCATAGTACATTGGGGTTCAATGTCACGCGAACCTTCCAGTTGAATATGTTTCTAGTTAATTTTATTTTTGGTATAGAAAACTTATACTACCTAATAGTTGCCCTTGACGTGCATAAGACTTGCGTACGATATTGTCCATATATTCTAAGGCTCTTGAATCCAAAGGGAGACCGGTTATGCAGCTGGAGGTACATCTCTCAAAAACTCCCCCCGCCCCCCACCCCACCCCCCACCCCAGATAACATCTTGTAGAATTGAAATTCAAATCTGAATTTTGATCCTATTATCTTTTCTGCCATTTTCATCAGTTCCAAAAATTGTTCTGCAGTCTTTAAGAAAATTGTTCTCTTTCTATTGTACTTTATTTGTCTTTTTTTTTGGCATACGCAACCATTTAGGGCAGCATATTGAAGTTTTGGCTGTTAAGATACTTATGGTTCAGTTTTATTGGAAGTTACCTTATACAATCGGGTTGTCATTATATATAAAAAGCACTTTGGCATAATAAGCCTATTTTGGCATAAAAATCTAGAGTAAATCCCATAAAGGGTCCTTAATTACTGGATGTTTTCCATATTTAATCCATAATTTTAAGATATTACATAAATGGTTCTTAAATTTTGAAAAATATTCCATAAATAGTCATTTGGGTCAAAAATGACAAAAAATTGCACATATAATCCCCAAAAGTCAATAGATCATTTATGGAATAGTTTTTAAAAATTAAGTACCATTTATGTAATATCTTAAAATTGAGGATTAAATATGGAAAATCACCTATAATTAGGGACCATTTATGAAATTTACTAAAAAATCTATTTTGGTATACGGAATATATTTTAGTCTTATTTTGGTAGTTCATCCTTGTTCATTTTTCTTTGATTACACCAACTAACAGAGACTCAATTCGAAAGTAACTGTGTAAAAAATGGGAATATTGAGCATTGGTGGATAATTATTCTGCATTCTTTTTGGATATTTTTTTAATGAACCAATCGTCACAAGAAAGGAGGTGAAAATTAAAGTAAAAATACCTTTGGTTAAAGGCAATCATAAGATCATTAGTGCTGGTTTATTCCCTATGGAAGCAAATGACTTCTTAATGCTTTTAAGTTAGTGCAAGTACAAATTAATTTGTGATGCAAGAAAAGAACCGAAGCACTAATGTGTAATGAGCACTAACCGAGGAATTAGTAAGTACACCTTGGTTGACATGGAGATTCAATATCATGGGATGAATTGAGGTTTATACGATGCTCCGTTCGAAAAATTGATAGTTCCTACTCCTCTTAACTCCCCAATAAACCCCCCACCCTTGGCCCAGCCCGAACATACCCCCGCACCCCTCTCAATTGCAGGCCACAAGATTTAGTCATTATTAAAAAATACATTATTTGAAATTTAAAAAAAGAGTAAATAAGAAAAACACGAAATGAAGACTAAAAATGCCATTAAAATTGAGTGGTCCTAAAAATGCCATAAAAATTAGAAGTTCTATTTTGATATATTTTTAATGTTGTACTCCTACTTTAATATTTTTCTCTAAAAACATACCGATGATGTATTAAGAAGATATGAAATGAAAATATAACCATTTGTTGGTAACATCCATTGAAGCGAGTGATTTTATGATTTAAATCCTTCCACTTCCAAATGTCACTTGATCAACGGTCGAATCGCTTCAACCAACCAAACCATTAAAATGGTCGAGAACTTGCTTCCAAAACGAATCACGTTTTTGTTGATTTCCCCTTTTCTTGTTTCCGGATTCATGAATATAAGACTTGCATACGGCAATCTCCTCGTCTTCGGTCCAATTCTTTCTTCCCGCCCATTTTGAGAATTGTCGTTTGGTGTTGGTGGGAACCTCATCCTCGCCTTCTTCTTCCTCCACTCGTATGTTTTCTTCTCCTATCACTTCTTCACCATGCATCACCTTGCGACGTGTAATGGTTTTGGAATTGAGTGCTTTGGTATTGCGTTTCCCTTCCCTGTCCTCTTTCTTTCTCTTCCGTTATTTTCCTTTCTTCCACTATGGCGGATCTTCTTCTTCCTCCTCCTCCTCGGATCTCACTTCTTCTTCCGTTTTTTTGAGACTGTCAGCTCCAGCGGATCTTCGTTTTCTTTATTTCTTTTGCTTTCAATCTTTTTCGCTTTCAATCTTTTTCATTTTCTTTTCTGTTTTTTTTTTGTTTTTTATGTTTATGGTTTTCTATTTTTTATGCTTATGTTTTTGTTGTTTTCTTCATTTTTATTTTTCATTTTTTTCTGTTTTGTTTTTTCTGTTTTTCAAGTTTATTTTTTGTTCCTTTTTCAGTTTTTCTCTCATTTTTTTCTGTTTTGTTTTCAGTTTTCTTTGTTTTAAAATTTATTTTTTTCTGTTTTTGTAATTAATGACCGCTGGAGAAGCAAAGAAACGAAATTACTTAGGGGTATTTGGGTAATTTTGTGTTCATTACCTTACATTATCTATTAAATATCCAAACACAATTTTTTAACTTCTTACCTAATTTTACCTATCTTCAATTACCTACCTAATAAAACTTTACCTACCTCCAACCAAACACAGCCTAAGTACCCGGCCCTACTCGAAACTACTTGGATGATATCGAGTAGGATACCCCATCCCCCCTAATTAGGTTTGGTACATAGTTTAATATGAGTAAAATTGTGTGGTTAAAGATGATGCAAAGAAGAGAAAGATGCTAGGTCTCACACGATTTACTCAAAATAGAAAGATCTTTTTTTAAACATCTCGAAAAGAAATGATAAATCTTTTTATAAGACAAAGAGTAATTAATAGTATGTCCTTATTTTTGGAAGATAAACTATTATTAATTGATGGACCATGCTTCACCCTCAAAAAAAATCCCACTTGAGGTTACTACCAACTTGTGAATGGTAAGATTTCATTGTGGTTTGTTGCGGTTGCTTTCGCACCACTTCAAGGATAACAAAATGTAGCCACAAATATCTTATTGTGTAGAATTTCCAATATACTACGTACTATTTAAAATATAATTTTTATTTTTTATTTCTAAATAATCTTTAAATTAAATGAAACGAAAAAATTTGATATTTTAGTTTGTTTCGCGTAAAGTGTAATTTAATTTGGGTCGAGGGAAAAACCAGTAAACCAATGTGTACATCACAATCTCACGAAGACCCACAAGCAAACAATAAACCAAAAAAGAAGAAACAAATAAACAAAACGCATGAAAAAAACAAAAAAGCAATGGGAAAATGCATTAAAGCAGCAAAAGGCAATAAACAACAAAAAAATGTGCAGTAAAAGGGTATACATAATTGTACAAAAAATGCACTGTAATCAAATGGTTAAATAAATGCTTTTCTGGAGCATCTTTATGATTTTAAAGGCTTAATTGTTGTATCATAAAGAAATAAAGCAATAGCATTTCTAAAAAGTGAACTCTTATTGAACTAGAATATGACCAACGCTACTATATTGTCATGAGCAGAGGAATTACACCACAAAAACAGAGCATGTTTCTAGCAGAAGCAGCATCCCACAAACGCAACGCCACACAACTACGAATTTGACGAACAAAGTTTTGACCTTACAAGCCACGGGCGCGAAGCACCATTTGCCTTTTGTTTCTATAGATAGATAGATAATAATGATACTAATGGAGTTAACAAGGTAAAGAAGGAAGAGAGTAAGTGACCTACAGAGAGTGGTATCTCTTCATCCTTTGTGCCGGCATCACAAGAAATCAATCTTCGGCTACTTCGTGCGTGCAATTTTTGCCGCTTTGGGTTCATCTTTTCCCAATGAATTGTTCTTCTTTGGTGTGATGTTCTTCACCTCTTCATCTTCATATTCAGCTTCCTCCCCATCATCACCCTCTTTGTCTTCTTCTTCCTCATCGGAATCGCCTTTGGCTGACCTTTTCCTCTTTGGTGGGCCATTAACCTTTCCAACAGAAGAATTTTTCCCCTTTGGTGGAACCACTACATCTCCTTCATCATCATCATCCTCTTCTTCTTCTTCTTCTTCATCTTCATCTTCATCCTCATCTTCATCTTCTTTGGAATTCTCTTCAGGATCAAAATCACTAGAATTGCCAGCATCTTCATCAGAAATTGGCCGAACTAGCGTTGATGTTGCCAGATCCTAGTAATACAGGAACTCATTAGACTGCAGAACATATAAGATCGATTTCAACTCTAACTGGTTGGTGGGTTAGGTTGTTTTTGGAAAGCGAACTGGCAAAAGTTTTTGCACAGTTGATCCGACCATACTTTAAAACTGGAAATATTTTAATAAAACTTTTCCTGTAAACTTCATTTCTACCATATAAACATGAGATTCTAAGTCTCAAAACCTAAATGTTTTCAGATGTTTATGGTGATGATTACAAAACTTACAGATGAAAACTCTCAAACTGGAAATGATTTTAAACAGAAATTTGACAATAAAACAGGGAAAACAGATCCACTTTTAGTTAAAAGTTTTAACAAAGCTAGGTATTTTCCAGCAGATTTAAGGGGAGAAATCATCTGCAGAGGATTTAAGCACAAATAAAACTGAAAAAAAAACAAAACAAAATACTAAGTGACCAAAATTAACAGATCTGGAAATTTTTAACCACAGGTTTAATCGCTCCGGGGTAATTTTTACACACACTCACAGCAAGAGATATTCATCCTAAAAGTGTTCTCAGTTTCATGCCTAAACAAGGAAGCCATTAAGTCTCAATCAAAAAACGACAGATCTGACAAATTCATGAGAAATCAGCTGATATATAAGGAAGATTAAACCTTAAGAAGAAGAAGAAAACATTCAAATATGTAAAAACAGAGATATCTGTATATCGAACCTCAACATCCTCTTGGTCTTCGGATTCATCATCGTCTTCATCGTCACCGCTCCGTACATCCTCCTCCTCCTCGTCGGAGTCAACTCCGACGGCGCCGTTTTCAACTTCCTCTTCCTCTTCGCTGCTCAACTGATCCGAATTCCTGTCTTCGGACATTTTTCTCTTCTTCTTCGATTTGATCTCGGTGGAAAATTTTTGCAGGAAATTGAAAGGATTAAATTTCCGGATTTTGTTTTCACTCTCGAGAATGAAAGAGAAGAGTGGAGAGCAGCTTCTTCGTTCTTCGGAGTAGCAGTGCGGCAGGACGAATCTCGACCGTTGGAATTTCGAAATGACCCGGATCGATGACGTGGCGCTCATCGGACGGTCCAGGCGAGAGTATCGGATATGTACTGTGTGCTTTTCGTGGTCTAGTCACGTCGCTAATCACGTGGTTTCGGTGCGACTGGGTGAGGGCATCTAGGGTTTTGCCGGTACATTACGACGTCGTTTGTTCGAATTTTCCTTTGGGCTGATTATTTTGTGGCCGGATATAAGCTTTTCGAAAATCTATGGGCCTTGTAAAAGGCTTGTGGAAATTGAGCGTAGTCAGAAAGTAATGGGCTCACGGCCCACTTTATATTTGAAATTGGTTCCTATTTGAATCTCCGTGCATCTTCGGTGCATATTAATTTTATTAACCTTCTCGCTTAAATTTTTTTAATTTAAAGTAATAAATGCTTATTAAGATAGTAAAAAAATGATTATTTTTCTTATATGTAAGGTCTGTGGTGGACCTTAGATCACCCATCGAATCTGTTTCAAAAATTTTAACTCATTTACTCCCTTATTTTTCAAAATTTAAAAAATGCTAATGACTAAAGGAGAATAATTAAAATTTGTTTGTATTAAAGAGAATATATGTTTCCTTCAAAAAAAAGAGGGGATATATGTAAGTGCAAAACTCATTTTACTAGAAAAGAGAGTAAAGTAAGTCAAGAAGTGTTTTTTGAATTTAAAACGAAGAGAATATGATAGAAGATGACTTGAAAACAATAAAATAATTCATTTGAAAATTTATTTCATATTATAAACTAACATTGTTCATAAAATATTCAAGATCAAAATTAACAAATTTTGTTTTGATATCTAAAAAGAAAATATAATAGATCAAAGTTTAATCTTAGCGTTTTGAAAATATTATCTAATGATAACGTTTAGCTTTATTGTTTTTAAAATTAATTCACATCACTAAAAAGATTTCAAAAAAATCTAACACTTATTAAAAATGTCCACGAGGGCTTTTCAAAAAAAATGTCGGGTCTGTTTGGGAATAGCGTTAGAATTTTGAAAAGGCTATCTACGGGCAGCGTTTAGCGTTAGCATTTTCAAAGTAATCTGTACCGTTAAAATTTTATCGAAAACGTTAACGCTAATATCTAACGCTATTTTCAAACATCCCCGTCCACGAGGTAAAACTTATTCTATTTAGCGGCAAACAAACACTACAAAAAAATGAATAAAAGTAAGCATATGAAAGAAACATGAGATTCTGAGATTTACTTTGGGTTGATGACTTGAGGATTATGCGGCATCGTTTGTTCGAAATCTCCTTTGGGCTGATGATTATGCAGCGGGTATAAACTTTTCAAAAATGTATGGGCCTTGCAAAAGCTTGTGGAAACGGAGCGAATTCAGAAAGTCAAGGCCCACTTAGATTTGAAATATGAGATTGGTTCCTAATTCAAAATATTTTAGGGAGCACTTAGTTTTTCCATAAAATTAAAAACATGTTAATAAAAAAATGATTAAAAATTGTTAAGATTCGACAAAAACTATGTGATTGGAGTACTCAATGCTACGTTCACAAACAGAATGGTCACAGACTTCACAAACTTACCATTTATGGTTTAAATTTTCATTTTAAAATTACTCTAGACCATTTTTTTTTTAAAGTTTACAAATAGTAAGTTTGTAAAGTTTGTGATTTTTTTTGTTTGTGATTGTAGCATTTCTCTTACACTGTATGTCTGCAACGTAGAGAGACGCCCTTCCCAAATGCAAACATAGGGCTTGTTCTCTTCACCTGATCTGAATGATTATAGGAATAAATTTTGATTTGATCTGATATGAATGTAGTTATATTTAAAATTATTTTTTATCTGATTTGAAAGTAGATACACTTTAAATTTTTTCTAATCTAATTTGAACTGAATTGATTGCAATAATAATAAGTACTCCATAATAAGAATAAATTAAACCAACATGCTCACCATGTCACATCAACTTTTCTTCATCTTTTCCATAAATACTTCTCACCCTGAATAGTAAACACTATCATATTCATACTTTCCACATGCACCTTTATTAATTTATTTCACAATCATATTATTAAAAATACATAAATAAAAGAAATGCTTTTTATTAAAATTATATTAAATAAATAATTAAAAGTAAATTACAAAAGTGAAAAAAAGAAATAGAAATTTCTTATGCGTGCATCCATTCAGACGGATGTAAGGTGAAATGCGTGCAATAAGCAGAAGAATCTATCGCTTTTAAAATCAAAGCCTCAAAGGCATTTTAAATGTCATATTACCTTGAGCGTTTTAAATGTCATATTACCTTGAAAGTTTTATTTAAGCCATATATTTATAAAAATCTCAAAAATAAAATATCCACATAATGAACAATTAAAGCATGAAAAAAATGAAAGAGTAAAAAAATTGAATTGGATTTAGATTTAGGAAATTGTTGTGATAGAAATGATACATTGTTTAAGTTTAGTTTTAATATATATTTTTTTTAAAATAAAGTCCGAATGTCCGCGGATATATGAAATTTTAATATTCTATGTTCGATCCATTTTTTTAGATATCCAATTAGAAATTAATATCCTAAAGCTAAAATAATTGATCAGATATTTACTTTTTGGGTCGGATCAGGCCCGATCGTGGATCCATCTTTCAAATCAGATGTTTAATATTTTTGAACACTCCAAATGGGTAGGGGTGGGGGTGGGTTTTTGTCAGATTGGACTGAAAATTGGACCTTACTGAGAATAAAATTAGGGAGTAGTAAAAATTATTGAATAACTAAATATTTGTATTTCTCTAAAAATAGAGGAGGACACACCATATAAATAGAATAAATTCCAAACAAACATAGAAACTGATTAAAATACAAATACTACCACAATTAATATTAACTTTTATTTAAGTATCTAACAAAAATCATTATTTTTTTAAAGCAAAGGGTCGTTGAATTTTTAATTTAAGCTAGTGTTATAATTTAACATTCACATCTAAGGTTGATGGGTTTAGGCGGGGTGATGAGCCGTGATGACTGATGTGGCCGACCGCCTCAGCGCGTGATGGAGAGGAAACTGATAGAATTTAGAATTGGGTAGAGATAACTGGATTGGACTATAAGACATTTGGGTTGAACCACATTAAAAGATTGAATCCAATCTATTAGTTAGTTCAACTCAAGAGCTTATATATCGATTTATTTTCACTACAAGTTCCGATGTGGGATAGACTCCAACACTCCCCCTCAAGTGGACAACCGGGCCATTTTGAATCTAACCGGTTGACCACTTGCAAATGAACTCTCATTCCCTTGACTTTTTTTTTATGAGCGCCAACACCTAAAGGACCACGAGCCGCTGGGTATGGACTTCCAGACGAGCAATCGTGTTAAACAGGCCACAGGCCGTTGGGTACAACCTCCATACGGACAACTGGGCTAAAGACAAACGGGCCGCTAGGAATGAACGTCTAGACGGACACCTTGACAAACGAGGTGGGATAAAACTGGCTCTGATACCATGATAGAATTTAGGATGGGGTATGGATCATTGGATTGAGTAATAAGACACTTGAGCTGAACCACATTAAAAGATTGAATCCAATCGATTAGTTAGTTCAACTCTAGAGCTTATATACCGGTTATTTTTCTATTGAACTTTCGATGTGGGATAACACTCTAACACTCCCCCTCAAGTGGACAACCGGGCCATTTTGAATCTAACCGATTGACCACTTGCAAATGAACCACTTGCAAGGGAATGTGAGTTCATTTGCAAGTGGTCAACCGGTTAGATTCAAAATGGCCCGGTTGTCCACTTGAGGGGGAGTGTTAGAGTGTTATCCCACATCGAAAGTTTAAGAGAAAAATAACCGGTATATAAGCTCTTGAATTGAACTAACTAATAGATTGGATTCAATCTTTTAATGTGGTTTAACCCAAGTGTCTTATTACCCAATCCAGTTGTTCATACCCAATCCTAAATTCTATCAGAAACACTGACTACTCCTCCGTGACCATGATGGTTGTGATGTCCATCACGATTATCACGCTTCATTTCCTTTTTATATTTGTTTTTATTTTTTGCTCCATCAATGTCTTCTTCTTTCTTGTTCATGGCCACTATAGTCTTGTTCATGTTTGTAGAGCCTCTTTTTATTTTTAGTTTTTTAGTTTTTAAATTTTTTTAAATCTTTTTTTATTTATACCTTTTTTAATTGGTATTTTATTTCTTAGATATTTTAAGGGAAGATTTTCATATACTCTGACATAAACTTTGCCTATTTTTTATCTTGTCTATGTAATTTTAATTTTAATGTTAATGAATTGCTTTTTATTTTAATTTTATGTAAATTTTGATCTAAATAAATGAAAAATACTAAGTATGATGAACGTGATCTACACCTTTGTCCACTGATGGGTCAATGGCTATGATGAAAAAGAGAAAAAAAATGTGTGGCATTGAATGGAGATGATGTGATAGGTGTGATGGTATGAACCACACCTACCAGCCTAATGTCAACATGACCTCATTGTTTTTATCGCAAAAAAATGTTTTTCTCTATGACGGTGAATTATGGTACATTGTTTTTTTTTTTTGAAATGTGGAAATTGTTATTATATTCTGTAGTATACACGTATAAGAAACAAATGACCATTGTCTATCTCTCCTATCCATTAATTTATTACAGAGTACGGAGTACTTTGTTTTTATATTTGTATAAGTTCAAGATTTTTGGCAGCACCCTGCCTCCATATTTGGGTGGTTTCAATGAAAAAACTTTGTTGCGAATCCCTAAATTTTCATAAGAAGAATTTCAAATGTTCTTGTTAAAATTTTGAAGTATTAGAATGTTAAAATTTTGAAGTATTAGAATTATATGATCTAGTCGTGTTTGGGTAGAATCGGGTTTGGCAGACTAAAAGTATCAGTATGTCAAAATGATCATCGTATTTTAGAACTTAGGGATGTTCGGATTGAGCAAATTTTAAAGAAGGTCTAGTTTTATGGGGTTCATCGAGTCCACTCCATAAAAATAGGCCATATATAGTTTGATTACGGCCCTCGTTAAAAGGCGGAGGCCCGGAGTGCAT